GAGTATGGGCTCTAGGCACGCAGGCTCAGTAGCTGTGGCTCGCGGGCTCTAGAGCACAGGCTCAGTAGTTGTGGTGCACGGGCTTAGCTGCTCCGTGGCATGTGGGATCTTCCTGGATGAGAGATTGAACCCGTGTCCCCTGCATTGGCAGGTGGATTCTTAACCACTGTGCCACCAGAGAAGACCCCTTTAGACTACATAACTGTAGCAGTCCAACCTATCATAAAATTGAAAGTGGGAATTAAACCACTAAGATTTTTGAGTTTTCAAGGCCTGTATTTTCTTCCTATCTTTGATCCTATTAAATACTTGAGAGTAAACATTCTTTTTTTTTTTTTTTTTTTACACAACGTATTTATTTATTTATTTATTTATGGCTGTGTTGGGTCTTCGTTTCTGTGCGAGGTCTTTCTCTAGTTGTGGCAAGTGGGGGTCACTCTTCATCGCGGTGCGCAGGCCTCTCACTATCGCGGCCTCTGTTGTTGCGGAGCACAGGCTCCAGACGCGCAGGCTCAGTAATTGTGGCTCACAGGCCCAGTTGCTCCATGGCATGTGGGATCTTCCCAGACCAGGGCTCGAACCTGTGTCCCCTGCATTGGCAGGCAGATTCTCAACCACTGCGCCACCAGGGAAGCCCCGAGAGTAAACATTCTTATGCTAAAAATAGATAAGTACACAGTGAAGAAACCACGTGATCGAAATTAACATTACCAATAAGGGGCAAAAAGACATAATGTGCCTCCAGATGTGACATTCTGAGAAGAACATAACATCATTTATTTAGTTTAATAGGGCCAAATATATAACATGAATTTAATCATGAGGAAAATTCAAACCCCAATTGAGGGACATTCCATAAAATAACTGGCCAGTACTCTCAAAAACTGTCAATATGTCATGAAATATAAAGAAAATCTAATAAGAAACTGCTATATAAAAAAATAAATAAATAAAATTTTTAAAAAAGGAAGTGAACATCTTTGAGGGGCCATTATCCTGACTATTATGGGGACTTTTGGTGAGGTTTTTTTTTAATTTCAGGATTAATTCCAATTGAGATTTAACTCTTTTCTTTTCCAGAGGCTTTTCCAGTATAGACAATATGGTCAAATACTAAATAAATACGAAAAAAAAAAAAAGAAAGAAAATCCGAGGAACTGTCTTGATTAAAGAGGACTAAAGAGATTAAATATAAGATTCTGAATTGAGTCCCATATCAGAAAAATGACAGCTATGAAGGGCACTGTTGGGCTTCTTGACAAAATTGGAATCTGAACTGTAGATTAGGGAAAGTACAGTACCAGTGTTAAATTTCTTGAATATGATAACAATATTGTGATTATATATAAGATCCTTGTTTTTGGGAAACACACACTAAATATTAAGGGGAAAAGGGGCATGACGTCTGTCTGTAATCTACTCTGAAATTGTTCAGGGGAAAAATCTATGTCTAAGTCTCTGTTGCTTGAAAGAAAGCAAATTCAGCAAAATGTTAAAAACACTGATAAATCTTGGTAAAGGGTATACTGGAGATATAATCTTACAACTTTTCTGTAAAGTTTAAAATCATTTTTAGGAAATAAATTTCTAGGGCCTATAAATAAAAAAAAAAAATCACTGCTATGACAGAAAACAACTTTGGAAACCAACACTTTTTGGTCGAAATGTTCTAAAATTATTTTGAATTTCTGGGATAAATACTTATTTTACTGTTTACTATGTATAAAACAGATAACTAATGAGAACCTACTGTATAGCTCAGGGAACTCTACTCAGTTTCTGTGGTGACCTAAATGGGAAGGAAATGCAAAAAAGAGGGGGTATATGTATAAGTATAGCTGATTCACTTTGCTGTACAGTAGAAACTAATACAACATTGTAAAGCAACTATAGTCCAATAAAAATTAATTATTAAAAAAAAAAAGAGCATGGAGCAAAGAGTCAAAGAATGGAGTCTAAGTCTCCAGCGTTTCACTTAGTAGTTGCTTAGCGAGTTTACTTAACTTCTCTGAGCTTCAGCTAACTCATCTGTAAAGTAAAAAATAATACCAGATACCTGAAAGTATTGTTGGAAGAATAACACAGGACAAACTACAGGAAAGGCACAGACTATATGATTCTGGCATGTGTTACATTCAAACAATGGAAGTTTCTTTTCCCTGCCCTTTGAATCTTATATATCACTTCTATAAAGGTGCTTTATTATGAGTAGCAAAAATAATCAGGACATTCATCATAGATTATATGATCTCAGAACGTAACTAGTACAGTTTTATCCATTTGAATGCTTATCTGGTTATATTTGATTTGTTAGTCCTTAATTATGAAATAAACATGATTCTAAGAGGCAGGAGTTAGAAAAGAGTGTCATATTAAATTACCAAATATATTCTGTTGACCTAAATACACATTTAACATTAGCTCTAATACTTGGAACTACACTTATAAATCCCTTGGAAGGTTACAAATATGGAGTTATTAATGAACCACAGTTATCACAGAAAAAAATAAGGTCAAGAAATAAGATAGATCATAAGGTTCTTTATCTTTAGAAGTTACTCCAAAGTCTACTCAGTTCTAAACTTGTTATTAAGGTAATAAAAAGTGAGTTCAAATTGAATATTACAATTTTAATAAATCAAGTTCATATAAAAGGCGTAAAAGAATTATGTAGATCCTTCTAACTTTTCTGAAACTTATATAAAGCAAAGCATGTAATCATCACTGAAAAAGTCAAACTAAAATATAATAACGATGACTTTGCAAAGGATAGAATTTATATTCCTTTATTTAATATAAATTCACTCAGTCCTTCTCAACCTTAATACCCACCACCATTCAGCATCTGAGAGACAAACTTATACCCACATATCTTCCCACTGTTTTGGTGATTATAAATTCATAAAAGAAGCAGGATAAAAATAAATGCCAAAATGAAAGCAAGAAATTAAAATATCATAAGAAACAAGTTAAGTGCATTTTTTTTCTACAGAAGTTAAAAAAAAAAAGATTTTCTGTAGGGTCACGATGAAGTACAAATTCAGACTGCTATCACTGAACTCAAGGCTCTCAAATCATATCTGACTCTTCATTGTCCTAAAGTTGGGTTATTTTAGAAAACTTGAAATACTAGGATTCCCAAGACAAACTCATGGTTCCAAAGTATAGCCATCCGTGATTTTTTCTTACAATGGCTTGTATTTAACAGAAGAGTCATAAGAAAGGGTTTCAGGTATCAACAAAAATCTGTGCTTTTCCTATCTTTACCATCCTGAACATAACATGGCTCCATCCTGGAGTTACAGTCTACACGTGTCTAGTCCTGTGGGTCTGACTACATGAAAGCTGATTTATGTGATAATGGAATTCAGTTTGTTAATGTCACATCAGGACTTCATAAAAAGTTAGGCAGTTCTCTGTGGTAGGCAGGCAGGCAGGCAGGCAAGAGGTCAGAGGGCAGAAAATTAGGGGGAGTGGTGAGCATACACTGAGAGAAGGTTGGGATTTTCTGAAGAATGATTTAGGCTGAGAGGAATCAGGAGCAAGCTTTTCGAAAACAAAACAAAATGAAACAAAAAAGAAAAACAGAAAATCCACCTGTGGCAGTAAAAATAAACAGTGGTCTCACTAGTGCTACCTCTTCCCTAGTTTTGGGAGTGAGAAGCCTACAATGGGTCTCATGGGCTAACATCAAGGTGCTGGCAGTGCTGTGTTCCTTCTGGAGTGTCTAAGGGAGAATCTGTTCCTGACCTTTTCCAGTTTCCAGAGGCCATGTGCATTTTTTAGCTCATGGTCCTGTCCTTGAACTTCAAAGCATATTATTCCGATCTCTGCTTCTGGCCTTACATCTCCCTCCCTCTAACTTTAACATTCCTGCCTTCCTCTTACAAGAACCCTTGTGATTACACTGATCCCACACAGATAATCCACAATAATTTCTCCATTTCAAATGCTCTAACTTAATCACATCTTCAAAGTCCTTTTTACTCTGTAAGGTAACATATTCACAGGTTTGGGGATTAGGGTGTGGACATCTTTGAGGGCCAATTATTCTCTCTACCACAGCTGGTCTCATTGCCGCCATTTTGAGCCATACAATCAACTAATTTAATTATTAATAATGTTTAACATTCCTAGTTCACATTCAAGAAAAAGTCATTCAATTTATTGATTACACAAACAAAAAGTCATTGGATTCACAATAAAGTAAAAGGTGAAAGAATAGGGAAATGCCGAAAACATATTTAGGCCGATCTAGAAAAATAAAGCACCCAAATTTTCTAAACATGGTTTGAAAGGCGGCCTTAAAACCAAATGATAGAGAATCAAAGATTATTAAGAGTTTCAAGGGGCCTTAGAGATCATTCAATTCAATTCTCCATTGTTAAACGAATACCATGTGTATAAAAACTCACACGAAGTAGGTAGGCTGTTCCCAACCACCTCTCTGGATTATAATCTAGCTCATACTTCCTAATGTTAGTTACTACAGTCATCATAAAAGACTCTGTTAAGTGATCTGCTGAAATCTATTAAAAACAAAACTATGATCAGGCTAAACACTCTACCAAAAGAGGAAATTAAAAGAGAAATGATATGTCCAGAAAAAAGAAACTTAAAAGACCCACTGGAGGGCTTCCCTGGCTGGTGGCACAGTGGTTAAGAATCCAACTGCCAATGCAGGGGACATGGGTTCGAGCCCTGATCCGGGAAGATCCCACATGCCACGGAGCAACTAAGCCCATGAATCACAACTACTGAGCCTGAACTCTACAGCCCACAGCCACAACTACTGAGCCCGTGCGCCACAGCTACTGAAGCCTGCGCACCTAGAGCCTGTGCTCTGGAACAAGAGAAGCCACCGCAATGAGAAATCCATGCACCCCAACAAAGAGCAGCCCCCGCTCACCGCAACTAGAGAAAGCCCACACGCAGCAACAAAGACCCAATGCAGCCAAAACCAAATAAAAATAAAATAAATTAAAAAAAAAAAGACTCACTGGAAGAATTGAATACAATCGTGTAAGCATCCCAAAATATTCCTTCTGAAAAGAGAAGTCAAAACGAAAATAATCTTGAGAAAAGGGGCTCCCCTTGACATATGTTTTGAAATCAATTTAGAATAAAGTATAATGGACAATCTAGAGTTTAAAAACTCTTGAAAATATTTTTACCTCTCCCCCAAGGAAAAACTTTAATTTGAAAATCAGAGACTGTGTAAATAATGTAATTATACTATCAAGTAAGGCAAAAATATCAGAATTCCTTTCATTAAGGCAACTTGATAGTCTATAAAATACTGAGTTGTTAAACTTTAGATCATACTCAGAAACAACAAGCTTTTAAAAACATTTAGAGAAAGTAACAAAGCTCTTTCTATCTGCTTTATTTCTCTGTTTTGCTTTTTTAAAGAACTTATAGGCAGCTAAATTTGGGAGAGCCATTATATGTCATTGTTCTTAAACCTGCATATGATTTAAGAACATTTCTCATTCAACGTGTATTCCAAGCGGTCACCTGGCCTTGGTTTGAATACCTCCAGCAAAAATTCACTCCCTCACAGGGAAATCTACTGGGGACAGTTTCAGCAAAGCTGCCTGGATCAATCTCAAGGATGGCCCTCCAGGTGCCTCAGAAACATGCACCCACACTCCTCAGAGCTGAGGCAGGAAGCATCTACTGTGGCCTCGTTATCCCTAGGGTAATTGTTCTCGAAACTGCAGGTAAGTGAGTTATGATTCTTTTGTGCTAACATATATCTAAAGACATTATCTTAGTTCCAAGATGTAAGACAAGCAAGCAGGTGGATTTAATATCACAATTTAACGTTTTAAACCAATATGAAAATTCCAAAGCTACTCTCATCACCTAAAAATTATTTTTTCAAGTCATAGACCTCTTAAAATAAAGATTTCATTACAACTTCATTATTTTTCATCAAAATTTTCTAAAAACAAAGTCTGGGATTGATAGCTAAGAATCAAATAACTTTTTAAACTTAAGTTACCTTTTCTAGGCAGACTAAGAACCTCAGCCATAATTTTAAAATACTAATAGAATTACTTAAGATTAATGAAGACTACTCAAGGAAGACTCAATGAAATAGAAAATGTAAACATGCAAATGTGACCTTTCGTCTAAAAGTCTAAGGTCACTCCCAATTAGCTTAAGTGATTCCACTATTAAATCTTATACATTAATAAGCTTGCAAAAGCTAAGAAAAAATTTTTAGTCTATCCTGATCATGAAAACACATTGCCTAAGTTATTTTCATTATCAATTTAAGAGGGTTATACTTTTTTGTCAGCAGGCAATAAAGGATTGGCAAAAAATCTGCCCCTCCCACCTATGCAAATGCAAAACTCAACTGTATGCTGCTTTTAACCATTTGATGATTTAAATGATTAAAAAATACACAAAATTTAGTTCATTTATCAGAGCTCTACTATAAAGCATGAAAAGCACTGGGATTTACTTATATTACTACTAGAATTCATGTAAACATAGTTATGGGAAAGGGAAAAGTATACTGAAATTATTCATGTCATTTATCGCAGAAGAACATTTAGCGGGGTGTTGATTTTAGTGGAAATAAAATATACCTAAGAAAACAATATATTTTCACTAAGAGGCACTCTAAAGACAGAATAAAAAGTGTTGTTTGAAAGTAACTGATATTGTGTTCTTCTTCCAATAAGGGGTTAGAGCCCATCTTCATTGTTGATTTTTTAGGCAAGGAAATGGGAAACAAATTAGATAAGAAAGAATGGATATCTATTTTGTAGCAGTGTTTTAGTGACATCCAGTTGCTAAGCAGTTTCACAAAGTACCTACCTTAGGGTAGACAGTTGTTAATTTTTGATAAATTTAGGAAAACCAGGGAGATTCAATGCACATGATATATCCTCTCTTTGATGGCAGGTCATCAAAGAGTTTCATCATTAATACTTAATTCCTTTTATTTAAGATTCTGAATTTTATAAAGATGAAACTCTTCCAGCCTAGTTTTTACCTAGAGCATAATTACAGAAATTTAGAGAAGTGTGTGGATTGAGTTGTATCTCCTGCCAAAAAAGATATGTTGAAGTCCTAACCCCCATAATCTCAAAATGCAGCCTTATTTGGAAAGAGGGTCACTGCAGATGTAACGAGTTGAGATGAGGAATAGGGCAGGTCCCTAATCTAATATGGCTGGGGCCCTTACAAGAAATAGCCACGTGAAGACAGAGACACACAGGGATACCATGTAACAATGAGGGCAGAAAATCAGCTACAAGCAAAGGAAAAAGGTTAGCCGCAAACCACCCAAAGCTAGGAAGAGGCAAGGAAGGATTTTCCTATGTGGTCCAGAGGAAGCCTGCCTCTGGACTTCAGTATTCAGAACTGTCAGACAAAAAATTTCTGTTGTTTTAAAATGAAATGAGCTATCAAACCACAGACATAGAGAAACCTTAAATGCACACTACTAAGTGAAATTAGCTAATCTGAAAAGGATACAACACTCTAGGATTCCAACTATCTGATATTCTGGAAAAGGCAAAATTATGAATACAGTAAAAATAATCAGTGGTTCCCAGGTGTTGGGGGGTAGGGGAGGGATGAACAGGTAGAGCACAGAGAATTTTTAGAGAAGGGAAACTATTCTGTACGATACTATAATGGTAGATACATGTTTTTACACATTTCCACAAATGCAAAGAATGTAGACTGAAATGTAAACTACTGACTTAAGGTGATAATGATGTGCCAATGTAGGTTCATCGATGTAACCAACGTACCACACTCTGGTGGGGGATGTTGATATCAGGGGAAGTTGTATGTGTGTGTGGCAGAGTATATGGGAACGCCACGTACTTTCTACTCAATTTTGCTATGAACCTAAAACTACTCTAAAATATAAAGTCTAAAAAAAAAATGGTTCTGCTATGCCAGGATTGGGTGACAGAAGTCTAAAAATGTAAGGAAGATGCTAAGGGGCTATGTTTAAAAGATAAAAGAGCAAAATAAAAAGCATCTGAAAGCTGATTTTATGCAATGAATTCTGCTTCTGGCTAAGGCAAACCAGCTTGTATCAGACCAATGATCTTGCCAAGAACAATTAGAAAAGGTGAATAAAATTTATAATATGTACTGTTTGAACATCAAAAAGCTACCAAGGCAGTGAGAACCTGAGGAACTAAGATCCTGGAGAGAAGCTCAATATTTGGATCTACTTTTCCCTTCTGGGTATTTATTAATTTGTAAGCAGTGACTGGGAGACGGAGCAGCCAGGTAAAAGCTAAGAGGCTGAGAAACTATGCAGAGCCTGAAGCATTCTCATGATCCTGCAGAGACAAAAATCAGAGATGAAGACCTGCCGTAAAAAAAGGCCCTGCTAACCACCACAGAATTTCAGCTGAGATCCTGAAGAGCTCCACTAAGGTGGTATGTTGGCTCAGGCTTTTTACCAGCTCACCAGAGTTGATTATGTGCATCTCTTCCCAATTTCATGTGCTGTTCAGTGATATCACATTGGTGATTTGAAACTGGCAAGAGTGGAAGTATTTACACTATGGAAATCAGCAAAAGCTATAAATCAGAACCCTTCCTGCTGAATGTCAGGTGTTAAAAACCAACACACCCCTGCCCGCCTTCAAAAAGTAAGGGCAAGCCAGAAATAACCCAATCCTCAGAAAGGCTGAAAAATAGTTTGAAAAATCAATCTCAGATCAATTCAAATAATCAGTCCTTATCTTGGAGTCTAGCAGAAGCAAAATTAAATACTCCAAGAGGAAGATACATTACAGTCTAGAACCTATAGTTTTTTTTTTTTTAATAAACAATGGTAGTCACATAATAAAAATGATCAGGTGTATGGAAAGAGAAGACAAATGATCAAAATCAAGAAAAAAAAGACAATACAAACAAACAAACATTAGATGCAGATATTGGAGAATTCAGTATGGGCTTTAAGGTAACTGATTAAATATGTTTAAAAAATATAGAGGAAAGTATGGGGAACTTCACTAGAACACTGGAATCTATAAAAAAAGAATCAAATTGTAATTCTAGAAGTAAAAAAATTAAAATGAGAAATTCCATATATGGGTTTGATGGCAGATTAAAAACAGATGAATAAAGGATTAGTAAATTAGAATAGCACTTCATAAATTTTAATGTACAGACAACTCATGTGGAGACCAAGAATGACTGAGAAGGTTTGGGATGGGGTGGGGCCTGAGAGCCTGCATTTCCAGCAGCCCCACGGGTGGACAGCAGTGCTGCTTCTCTAGGGACCACACATGCTACTGTTGCTGTTCACCTTGCTATTCACTACTGTGAATAGCAAGAAACTAGAAAAGAGGTGAGGAGAGAACATCCAGAAACAGAAAGAGAACAAAGAAGGAAAAATATAGAAAAGGATAAATTAGACATTGGATATCATAACATGTATAACTGAAATTCTAGAAGAGAAGAGAAAGAGAGAATGGAGCAAAAGAAATACCTGGAGAGAGAATGGCTGACATTTTCCAAAGCTGATGAAAGAGGTCAGGGCAGAGTACAGAAGCTCCAGGAATTCCAAGGAGGAAAAATACAAAGAAAAGTACTCAGCAGGGGGCTGAGGTAGAGAAGGCATCATATCATAAAGATCTGTTGATGTGATTTTTGCCTAATGGAACAAACTCCAGCGAAATACAGGGAAGAGCCACAACGTTTTTGAGAAACTGCTTTCATGAACAAGGAAAAATGACTCAGAGGGCAGAACCAAGAAACCAAAGGGTAGAGCAAATACCAAATTAACAGTCCCAGGGATTACATAGAGTATGTACCCTAATGAGGGGGGAAGGGATGAGGGAGTTTCTGGGGCCATCTTACAATTCCACTTAATACATTAGGTAATTCTAGGTATATTTAAGGGAAAATAATAGAAATACTATACAAACTCTTCCAGCAAAATGTAGAGGAAGGAATACTTCCCAGCTCATTTTATGAGGCCAACATTACTCTGAAACCAAGATTAAGAAGACATTACAAGAAAACTATAGATCAAAATTTTCCGTGAACAAAGATGTAAAAATTCTTCACAAAATTTGAGCAAACTGACTGAAATAATATATCAAAAATAATACATCAGGGCTTCCCTGGTGGCGCAGTGGTTGAGAATCTGCCTGCCAATGCAGGGGACATGGGTTTGAGCCCTGGTCTGGGAGGATCCCACATGCCACAGAGCAACTAGGCTCGTGAGCCACAACTACTGAGCCTGCGCATCTGGAGCCTGCGCTGCGCAACAAGAGAGGCCGCGACAGTGAGAGGCAGGCACACCGCAATGAAGAGTGGCCCCCGCTCGCCGCAACTAGAGAAAGCCCTCCCACAGAAACGAAGACCCAACACAGCCAAAAATAAATAAATAAAATACTGAATACATAACTACTTTAAAAAATAATAATAAGAAGAATACATCATGACCAAGAGAAGTTTATCCCAGGAATGCAAGGTTGATTTAAATATTCAAAAGCCATTCAGTAGAATTCACAATATTAACAGACTTAACACCACAGACCAAATGATTATTTCAATAGATGAAAAGAAAGTGATAAAAGTTTAATTCTATTCATGATTAAAGCGTGTGTGCACACACACATATGGTAAATTAGGACTTAGAAAGGGACTTCCCTAATCCCCAAACTACAGTTAACTGTTATACTGAATGGTGAAATTCTGTAAACTCCACTCTTGAGTTAGGAAAGAAGAGAAAACTACCCAGTTTTATTCAGTAGTGTACTGGAAGTTCCAGGCAATACAATAAGAAATAAAAGTTACGAGGTTGAAAAGGAAGAAGTAAAACTGCAAATATCCTCAGATAATACAATTGTAAACACAGAAAAATTGGAAGAAAAAAAAATCCTACAGAAAAACTATTAGAATAAATAAATTCAGCAAAGTTGATGGGTGAAAGGTAAATATGTTAAAATCAATTCTATTTCTAAATAGTAGTAACAGTTAAAAATGATTAATGATATCAAGGGAATACACACATATGGATAAAAATAATAAATGATATGCAAGGCTTGTATACAGAAAGCTATCATTATTGAGAGAAATTAAAGAAAATTAAAATAACTAAGAGCTATATTTTATTCAAAGATGAAAAACTTGATATTATTACAATGTCAAGTTCCCCCCAAATGATCTATAGAATCAATACAATATCAATTAAAATTCCAGCAGGATTTTTTGGTGGAAGTTGACAAATTTAGAAAGTCAAAGGATCAAGAATAGTCCGGACAATTTTCAAGGAAAAAACATTTGTAATACTTACACTGCCAATATCAAGACTTATTAGAAAGCTACAGTAATTAACTTTGTGATTTTGTGGAGAAATCAACAGACCAAAGGAACAGAATAGTGTTCCAGAACAGACCCACGTGTAGAGACAGTTGATTTATGATAAAGGTGACCAGGCAGAGCAGTGGGTAAAGGATGAGATATTCCATAAGTGGTGATGACTCAAATGGATAACCTTATATTTTTAAAAAAGTCTTGACCTCCATACCTCATAATCTAAACAAAAATAAATTCCAGTTGGATTAAAGATCTAAAAGTAAAAGGCAAAATCATAAAATCTAAGAGTATCTTCTGTGGGGAGGGTATCTTCATGACAATGTGGGGAAGGTAACCTTAAACAGGACCCAAAAAACACTAAAACAAGAAGAAAAATATTGATAAATTCTACATAAAATTAAGAATGCTCTTCAAAAGGCACCATTAAGAGTGCAGACTGGTTATAGAATGGAAGGTACTTAGATTACCATGACCAACAATGGACTTCTATTCAGAAAACACAAATAATTCCTACAAATCAGAGGAAGGAATGGGGGAGGCAACAAACAAAACAGGTAAGCCAAGAGGTAAAGGGGCAAAGGTGTGAACAGGCACTTCATGAAAAAGTGTATCCAAATCTCCAATAAACATATAAGAGGTATTCAATATCAATAGTTGACAGGGAGATAGAAAAACCACAATTAGATTACATTACAGGACTTCCCTGGTGGCGCAGTGGTTAAGAATCCACCTGTCTACGCAGGGGACACGGGTTCAATCCCTGGTCTGGGAAGATCCCACATGCTGCGGAGCAACTAAGTCCGTGCACCACAACTACTGAGCCCTTGTGCCACAACTACTGAAGCCCACGTGCCTAGAGCCCACGCTCCGCAACAAGATAAACCACCGCAATGAGAAGCACACGCACCACAACGAAGAGTAGCTCCCGCTCGCACCAACTAGAGAAAGCCCATGTGCGGCAACGAAGACTCAACATAGCCAAAAAAAAAAAAAAAAAAAAAAAAAGATTACATCACATTCCCATCAGAATGGTTACTAATAAAAACATACTGCCAACTGTTGGCAAGGATACAGAGTCACTAGCATTTTTAGATATACTGCTGCTGGAGCTCTAAATTCAACTAGTTGGGAAAACTATTGCGCAGCATCTAGTAGAGCAGAGTAACTAATCCAGCAATTACACTCCTAGCTAAACACCCAGCAGAAATGTTTACATACACGAGTCAAATAAAAGATACAAGCAGGAAAGCTGACAGCTGTATTAGTTGCAATACTAACAATGGAATGTTGAAAAGACCCAATTCTTCTTTCACGTTAGGATGGACAAATTGTGATTTGCATAAATGGAATACTATACAGCAAAGAAAATGAATGAGATACAGCTACTAGCAAAAACAGACTACTCTCACCAACACAATATTAAATTAAAAAACCCAACATTCAAACACTGATGAATTCTTTCATTTATATGAAGTTTAAAAACAGGTCAAACTAATATGTCAGAATGAGGGATAGTGGTTTCTGTTGGGAAATAGGAGAGGATAGTAAAGAGAAAGGCATGATGAGGACCTCTGGGGTACTGCTAATGTCCTATTTCTTGATCAGACTGAGGGTTACATGGAAGTATTCACTTTATGAAAACATACAGCTGTACACTTTTCTGCAGGTATTTTGAAGTTTAAAAACTTTTTTATTAAAGAAGTTTAAAAAAGAATGAATTAGACTATAAGGACAATACAACAGTAGTTGTTAAGGAGCTGGGGATGGAGAGAGTAGATTACTACAAAAAAAATAAAAGGGAGTTTGGCACGGGGGGCCTGATGGAACCATTCTGTATCTTGATTGTGGGACCAGTTACACTAGTGAATGCTTTCATCAAAATTCAAAGAACTATATGCTGGAAAGAGGTAATTTTGCTGAATGCAAATTATATGTCAATAAAAATTGTAATTTAGATATAAAAAGTAATTAGTTCATTTGATTTCTTTTTATGCTTATGAAAAATTAATGGAAGCACACAATTTGTTCTGGTAATCAGAAACAAAGCAGAAAATTTTCAGTGAAAAAAATTCTACTTCCTCTTAAGGCTTACTAACATTTTTTCATCTTGGGCCAATGAATCTAGAAACTAAATGTTTGTTTGAGGTTATTATTTCTGGTGCATTCTGGGAAACAGTTTGCCTTTACTGGCTCTCAAACTTTTTCACATTTATTTTAGGTCATCTTATTCTAATGTATCTGTGAACATGTAAGGAGGAAATTAAATTGAGGTTCACTGTGAAAGCAACACACATCCGAAATAGACAAGACAGCATCATATCTATCCCATGGAAAAGTAGGAAAACCAGGGGACCCTCAGAAAGTAACAAATTATGAAAAGCATCTCTTAAGAAGCAGGGAAGCCTCCTTCGCTCACAAATATTTAAGTTTTGCCTTATTGTGAAAGATCCAAGGCTTTATCCTATAAACAGTTAGTACTAGATATTAGTTAAAAAAATTTTCCCCGTGTCATCTGAACCTCACTCTTCAAGAGAAAAAAAAAAAGGTAACATTATAGTTGCCTAAGGTCATTTAATGTACCAAGGTCTCCCTGCCCCTGACCCCAACTGGGAACAAACATTCCGTATTTTGTAACTTAAGGGTTGGCTATACCATGAGCTAGCTGTGTTAAGGCAGGCAACACAGCTGCATTTTTATAGCTGTTGGCTAAATATAATACCTTACAAGAAAAGTATCTTACCACTTGCGCTGGAACTTGTTCCATTTTTGCAGCGGGAGTTCCTGGTCTTGGGTAAAATTGGTTAATGAAGAGACTTGGAAATTTGTACTCTTCAACAAGTTTCATTGTTTCTTGAAAATCTTGGTCTGTTTCTCCAGGAAAACCACAGATAATGTCTGTAGCAATAGTTATTCCAGGAACTCTAGAAAATAATAAAAATGTACAAAGTTGATTACAGTCCATAATTATTCTGTTTCCTTGACATTTTAAATACCCTTTCCTAAAAATTAAATTTTTAGGAAAGGGACATTTGCAAACAGTTTTAAAATGCCCTAAATATTAAGAGTTTGTGGAAAACACGGCCCCCTATCATCCTCAGGAAATACCCATTTTAAAAAATTTCAGATGTTTCTTCATCCTTCTATATTTTAATATTGATGCCTATTCTATTTCTAGACTTAATGACTGTTAGGCAATATTTGCAGACTTCAATGAGGATTCAGCTCTTTAAACTACTCTATCCCCCTCTCCTTCCAACATAATCACTGCTCAATTTTTAGTTAAATTAATAGTGTGAATAGTATTTCCATTGGTATAAATGCTGAGATATTGTTCACTTTCACAGACAACTGGTATACTATCAATGAGTTTTCTTTTGCCATATTTAATTTTTCCTAGAGTTAATAATTGCCTCCTTTTTTTAAAAAAATTGCTTAATATTCTATGTACCTACATAAATGTTTTCCAGAAGATCCATCAGTTCTATCAAAAACCAATACTACTTTCTAAACTCTCAATGTACTATATAATTTACCAGTTCCATTTTTCTCTCTGGAAATGCCACTCCTAACATACTTCAAGTATGTGTCGCTTTCATAATGAACCAGCTGTCATCCTTGAAGGTGGTTTCTTGGTTTTCTTTTCAATCCCCCCTTTTTTTTTCTGGATCCTATGTCTTCCTAATTCTTGACTATTCTATAACAGAATCCCCCCCCCCCACCCAATTCTGCTGGAGCATTCTTTCAGAAGCTTCATCAAAAAGAGTGGCAGGGAAATTTTGTTGTTATTGTTTTAGCATCTCTGACCATGTCTTAATCCACACACAACTGACTGATAGTGTGGGGTGCACAGCCCTCCAAAATGAAAAGTATTATCCATCAGAATTTTGTATTGTTCCCTTTTTTTTTTTTTAAGTTGGCAAGGTTGAGATGAGATGTCCAGATCCACTCTGATGCAAACTTCTTTACATGTGCCCCACTATCTTTTTGAAAGTTTTTAGGCTACTAATTTTTTTCAGTGTTTTTAAATTTCATGATAATAGGTCTTGAATTAAGTACTGAAATATTTGTACAGGGTACAATCTGGAGACTCATGGTCTACAGGTCTAATTTTATGCTATTTTTAAAATCATTTTTCTCTCTCTGCAACTCCTCTCCTTGGAATGTTGAAACTACAGGATTGACCCTCTAAGCTGCTCCACTATTATTTTCCATCTTGTGCTTTTGTTACATTTTCTGAAAGATTTACTTGAGTTTATCTTCCAATGCTTCTATTGAAAAAGTTGTTTATCATATTTTAAATTTCTAAGAGCTCTTTCTCATTTTCCAGTTTTCCTTTTCACAGCTTACTGCTTTTTAGAGATGCAACATCTTTTCTTAACTCTTTGAGGATACCAATTACAGTTCTCTGGGTTCTTGGATTTGGTCCCTTTCATTCATGACTAAGACCTGCCGTAATAAATAGTGACACTTGCTGCCCTTTAATACTTAAGAATAAAGCACTAAAAGCTTTTCGTCAGAGTGACTACGTAACAAGCTCCATTTGTGTTTCAATAGGTCCATATGTTAGCATCTTGGAAGTCATTTCTCTTTGGCCATTGAGTTTCTCCATAAGTATGCTACAATATTCTGTGTGAAAGAATGACAAATTTATTTAAAAAAATATTTTTTTCTTGATTTCTGCTTAGTCTCACCCAGCTATTAACTTGACTGAACTTTAATTAGTAAGGGAAGTTCCAAGGTCTGGAACTTTTCTATCTGATGCTAAATAGAAAATGAGACAATATACATACAGAAAAATCTAACAGTATATTTGGAAAAAAATTATTTAAAAAAATTTTATGTTATAAAATTTTTTTTTCTCTTTTAAGGATAATTATCAAAATTACTGTTGAAAACCATAAAAAATATACTTTTACAGTAAATGGTAAATAAAAAGACTTATTTTCTAGACTAACTAAAGCATGTGAAATAGAATTATGTTAATAACTTCAATTAGCAAATTTTTACAGTTGACTTACAACTATTTCTGAACAAAAGAAATCCACACCTAAAAATAAAAGTAATGGATCATAGCAGAAGTGACAGAAAAGAGTCCATCTCCCCTAAGAAATTAGGGGGAAAAAAAAAAATTTTTTTGAGAAATCGCCTGCGAAACACTGCAGCAACAAAGACAATAGGTTATTGTTCCAGGCTATGAATTGGAATGAACTTGGCACTAGATTATGGGGTATTCCCAAAGGAAAGTACCTTACTGATCCTCCCCCCTTCACCCCACATCCTTCTTGATCCAATGTAGTTGAGTTCAGTATTATGTAACACCTGCTTACTTTGGCCTTAAAGTCCATAGCGAAAAAGAAAAGACAAACCTTTATAGTAGTCATCATAAATGCTAAGGAAGGGGATGTTCAATGTATAAACATATTTGATAATCTACATAAAAAGGTGACCAATAATAGAGGTGGGGATAGGACACTATGAATTCGTGAAAAACCTAAGTTAGTATTTAAAAGTAAAAGCAGTTTAAGTTTCAAAGTATATAAGAATATAAACTGAATACCCAAAACATGCTTTCAAAGTAGAGACTACACTTTAATATTGAAGCTCATCTATACATTGATTTTGTATATGCAAATCATGCTACTTAGGTTCTTCAAAATAAATGGGCTCCTTAGGTGAACCAAATAAAATATCTCATATTTACACTGCTAATTTGCTTATTAGTAAATATTCTCTTCAGTTCATAAGAAAAATCAAAAATGTTTGAAGTGGACCAAATTCTAAACTAATTGCATGCATATGATTTAAGTGGCTATAAGGAAATTTTAAGGGGCATAAAATAGAATATTAATCCAAATATTTAATATGCTATTTGTGAGTAAATGCTGTTTTCTGAGACGGTATGAATTTTCAAATTACTAAAGTTTTTTGTTTTTGTTTTTTTTGCGGTACGCGGGCCTCTCACTGTTGTGGCCTCTCCCGTTGCGGAGCACAGGCTCCGGACGCGCCGGCTCAGCGGCCATGGCTCACGGGCCTAGCCGCTCCGCGGCATGTGGGATCTTCCCAGACCAGGGCACGAACCCGTAAAATTTTAAAAAATGATCATTTCCACAAATTTATTGAAGCTGTGAGTCTAATAAATATAATTACTAGGTATTATGCCTTTTTAAGATTTAAAAGACCTTCTATATTTACATTTTCATAGTAGTATTAATTCTGAAGGAATGATGAAAATGAAAATGTCCAATTAGCTTAAATAAGAGAAGTTTTGACCCATATTTTTCTGACTTATACTTGCTACTTACTTGCAAAAAGAGTTCATTAAATAACTTGGGAATGGAATTAATGAGAAAGTTTCCAATTATGCATATGAATTGAGGTGTATGACTAGTTATGAAAATCGATCAGGGACATGTAAGTAGAGTACTACCTATTTGCTGGCACTAGGCCAGCATTTAAGAAAGCCCCAAGTATTTTAAAATACTTAATTATTCACCTTAACTAAAAATACATACACATATACATGCCATACTGTATTTGAAATACTACAAAAAATGTTGTATTTTAATACACCTCAAGACTTTCACTTGCAGTTTGGTGTTTCACTGGCAAAAATATAAAAAGGATGATTCTATTTCATTCTTTAGATCAATAAATTATGAGCTTCAAATTCCACATGTGAAAAAAGTGAGACTAAAACACACACTACCTCAAAAGAAAGCGGTAAAAATGATCAGAAAAAGGATCAGACCTATTAAAATTATTAGGCATAAACAAAACACATGATTAAAAGAAACATTTTTTAGTCCTATAGAGATTAATTCCAGTACAATTACTCCACAATTTCATGGAAGTTAAATTGGAAGTAGAAAGGGAATAAAAAGTATCTTGAACGGAATGAAAATAAAAATAAAACTATACCATATCTAAATATATGGGATGCAGCTAAAGCAGTGCTTAGAAAGAAATTTATAGATTTAAATGTCTGTGTTAGAAAGAGGTAAACAATAATCTAAGCTTCCACCTTAAGAAGTTTTAAAACAGGAGCAAATCAAACCCAAAGTAAAATAAAGGTAAAAGAAGAAGTCAATAAAATAGAAAATAGAGAAAAAAACAATAAAAGTAAGGTGCACCTTTAAAAATAATTAATAAAATTACTTAACTACTAGTAGACTGAGAAGAAAAGAGAAGACACAAATGACCGACTTCAGGCATGAAGGAGGGGACAGCACTACAGTTGTTATCAACATTAAAAGGATACTAAGGGTATATTGTAAGCAATTTTAAGCCAATAAATTAAAAACTTAGATGAAACAGGAAAATTCTTTGAAAGGCATAAATTATAAAAACTGAAGAAGCAGAAAATCTGCATAGCCTTTTATCTATTACAAAAATTGAATTTGTAATTTAAAATACTGTCACCAAAGAAAACACCACAAAACAATGGAGGCATATGCAGACCCAGATGACTTCACATTTAACAGAGAATAAAACTAATTCTACAGAGACTATTTCTTTCCGTTTTTTTTTGGGGGGGGGGGCATGCAGCTTGCTTCGGGATCTTAGTTCCCCAACCATGGATCGAACCTGGGGACCTGGCAGTGAGAGACCCGAGTCCTAACCATGGACTGCCAGGGAATTCCCAGAGACTGTTTCAAAAACAGATGAGAAACTCATTTTACAAGTCCAGCAATAGTAGCCTGTATGAAAACCAGAGAAAGAGATGGAAATAATTCCAGTCCAATAACCCTCATGAACTCAGAGACAAAAATTCTTACCAGAAGATAAGCAAAGTGAGCCTCAAAACACATAAAAAGTATTGTATATCATGACCGTGTTTTTAATCTCAGAAATGCAAGGGTTGGTATGACACGCAAATAGCAATTAATGCAATAAGCCATATGAAAAGAATAAAGGATAAAAA